GTGACCAAAACTAAAAATTTGCGTAATTTATATACATGTTTAGAATTTGTAATGCATTTTTTTTTTCATATAATAGAATTTTGATATGTTTAGTAAATCGTATTTTTTTTATTAGTGTCCTTGTTTCCTTAGAACATTTATGCCATGTTAAATGTGAAAAAAAAAAGAGAAGAAATAAAAAATTACTTAAAACGTCTAAAAACATATTTAAAAAATAGAGGCAGGGAGAATTTATCAAGGAAAAAAAAAAACCGGTGAACCGGTCTGCAGTCCGGTCTGGTTCAGTAGCTGGGCCGGGGGCCAATTGAACCGGTCATAACCGGTATAAAACCGGATAATCCCAGTTGGCTGGGTTACCCGGTTCCTTTTTTTTTTTTTTTCGGTCTACCAAAACCATTTGATGCGTAACTGAATATCATTCCTCATTCCTCTGGCTCGCGTAGCAGCTCGCCTCCCTCCCTAAAATCAAAATTGCCTCCTCCCAAATCCCTGCTCCCTAGCGTCATGATGGCACGACGGTCTCTAGCAGAGCTCCTTGTTCGGCAGAGCTCCAAAATCGCAGTCATCGCAAGTCTGATCTCCGGTCTCCCTCAACCTCATCGCAAGTATGATCTTCGGTCTCCCTCACTATAGCTGCAGTTTTCTTCGCTGTCGGAGGTCGCCGGTCTTCATGTGACGTCGTCCTGGTCAAAGCAGAGGTTGTCGTTCTCGGTTCTTCAATCAGATTTGCAGGTCGTAGGTCGCGGCAGCAGCTTGTCACTCCCCATCGTCATTTCTTCTTTACGGTGGTAGAACCATTGTCGCAGCCCGAGATTCTTCCTTCTCCTTCTACCTGTTTTTAGTTTTTGTGGTCTTGTTGTTTGGTTTGTTATTTTCTTTCAATTCGATGTGCTCTGTTTTTCCTTTCTTGGTCCTGCTTCCGTGTTTTAGGCTTCCGGCTATGAGTGATATGAAATCTAATTATCTGAATTGATCTTTGAGGTTGAAGAAGTGAAATTAAAACATTCGGTGTATGGGCTGTGGGCATTTGAAATTTGTGTGTTTGTTTTTTTTCAATTTTTTAAATCTAGACCAATGAATAAACGTCCATATGAATGAAATCTAAAAGTAGAATAGTCAAATAGATATTAGGATTATTCTATTTTAATGTTACCAATTAAATTGTATTATTTTTTTATGACTGGTCCGACCATGGTTTGACCTCCGATCCGATCATGGTCTGACCTCCGATCCGACTAATGACCCTTGACTCATTGTCTCGACCGGTTTAGTCACCGGTCTGGTTTTTTGTTCCTTGGAATTTACATTATCGATGAGCTGTGAAGAATGCAACTTTGTATCAAATTTTTAATTCATAATGAATATATTAAAGATTAATGAGAAACATGAAAATGACATTTGGATATAATTTTAAAATAGGAACTTCAAGCAGTAGTAGTCCAAGGATGCCAAGCATTTTGCTTATTACTTTTCTAAGCGGGGTCGTGAGTTTGAAATCTGAACTCTAAAGAGTACAATGAGTAAGTGAGTTATGATAAAAATAATACTTTTCTGATCATTAATATAAGATCTAATTAACTAATTTGAGCAAATTAATGATGCTCGTTAAATTAGTTAATATAATATATTTTTTCTAAAATACTTTAAGCATTTTTCTTAGTCCTTTCCATTTATCTTCAACTAATTATTGTTGGGGAATATCAATAGAGTTAATTTGAAAAAAAATTAATAAACATGTGAAATAGGTTTTATTTATAGAACCAATATTAACTCCTTAATTAGTTTCTATATTAAGGACGAGGGGAGTATTGCTTCCGTTTTAACTATAAAAGTTAATTTATACTACGTCCGGTCCTAATTATAAGAGCTAGTTAACTAATTTGAGGAGATTAAGGAAAGAAATTAAGTTAGTTATTTGTAATAAATAGATGTTGTCTTTCCTAAAATATCCTTACTAATCAAGTATATTAATTAGAACTATCATTGTTAGAAGGATTGTTTTGAAAAAAAATACATAAATATAAAAGACAAAGGGGATTATGGTTTTATATTTAGAACCAAAATAAAAGTAAAATAAGATCTTATATTAAGGACCGGAAGTAGTAATGTAATTTACACTATAAACTAATTCTTATATTTAGGAATGGAGGTGTACACATTAATAATTTTAGAATAGGAATAAGAAAAAATAATTTGAAGAAGATGTACGCATTATTGCATGTTCTACAAAACAATGATGAGGTTTAGGAGGGATATCAGAGATTGAGTAATGGAGAGGGCACTTAAGTACAATCATCCATTCATTTACCATCATGCTCTCCAACTAAGCCACCTCCCGGGTCCCTTCCTTTTTAGCTCCATTTCGCCTCTTGTTCATATATACACACACCCACATCAAATCTAAATAGTCTATGTCATTATCATTATCACATTTTGGATCATGAGATATATAATTGAGAGTGGTGACGACTTTTAGGACCCATAAACCTAAAAGTATATGCTTATCCCTTTTGCATGTGATGCTTAGGCTCGAAATGAAAAACGAATCAATAAGAATCACAAATACAGATATGTGTGTGTGTTTGTGTGTGTAAATATAAAAGCAAGCAAGCATGGATGAAATTGGGATGAAGTGGAAAATGGGGCGAAGTTCAAAAGAGCAGTGATGAAGGGGGAAGAAAGGGGGAGGGTGGGAGGAATCGGGTATTTGTCATTTCTGTGGTGATTGATTGATAAGTGACAATGAGATCATCATATAATCATAAACATATTTAGTTTTTAATGATTGTGTCTTGGAAAATAGTTGCCACCTCCCACCCTACATTCCCTTCTCATTCTCTTATATGGGGGGCACCCGCTCTTCGCCACCCTCCCTCCCTCTCTATATCTTACCATTCATTTGCATAATCCAAATGACTCGGCGCCTCCTTTCAAACATTCATGTCTTCATTCTATTTAGTACTTTTCGGGTACTTAATATAATATTTATTTAACTAATTTGATTAGATTACGAAAGTTAGTAAGTTAGTTAATTATAAGAAATATGACATGTTTTTCTTAAAACACCATAATCATCTTCTTTAATATCTTTCCTCTCTCTCTTACTTGATTATACTTGAAGGAGTATTAATAGGGGTAATTTAGAAAAAATTGATAAATATAAGAAATATGTCTTATATTTAGAACTAAAATTAACTCAATAATTATGTATTATATTAAGGACCGGAGGAGCATATTTTTAAAGCTTCAATCTAATAGTTTTCCTTTCCAATTTTTTTTTAATCATGAGAAGATTAATAACTCCGTACCATTCTAATATTATTTATAAGTTGCTTTCGACATCATTTCTATCACAAACTTTAATAAATATTCAATTTTACCTCTATATAATAAATACCTCTTTTTTTTTAAAAAATAGTTTACACAATAATAATAAATAAAGGGTAAAATTATATATCTATATAAAAATATTGATGAGGTGACTTGTAAATAAGACTAAAAACATTTTCTCTGACTTATAAATAAAATTAGAAGAATAAAGAACATATACCAACATTTAACGAGGAATCAAACAGTTCTCTCTTTTAGTCTTATAAATAAAACTAGAGTGGCATGGATTAAGAAATTTAGTTAAAATTAGTTAATATGTTTAAAATTCAGTACAAAAACTAGTTGTAGGGCAAAATTAATGATTTGGTAAGTTGAACTCTCTCACACACGCCAAGGGTTAGGGGAAGTAATTTTATAAAAAGAAGTGGAAGAATTATTATATGTTAGTGTTTTGCAATCAAATTGCAATTATGGAAGTGAATCTTTTTGAGACCGTGTGCCATCATGTTGGTCTTTTTTGATTTTGCTCCTTTGCTTCGGACCGACTGATCCCTTTTCCCCCACCTAACTAAGCCCACTGCCTCCCAACCAAACAATTCCCCCATCCATACTTCCTTCCCTTGCCTCCATCATCTTTCTATTTACTTTCTACCAATATTATCAACATAAAATATAACATTCAAAATATTGTCTATAAATAATAATAAAAAAAGTAATTCAGATTACTCTCCATACAGTGTATAAAATATACACACTTTATTAATAAAACATAAAAAACAGTTACGTATATATGCATATGAAACCGCGTTTATTAAGTATATATTTATAATTTATTAATCAATATCAATACAAATTATAAAATTCAAAATATTATCCATTACAAGTCAAGAATGTAATTGCTCCACCCTAAAATCCACATAATGTATATAACTATACATAATTTATTCACAAAAACATGCACACAAATAATTGCATGTATGGAATATATGACCTATTTAATTCATTTGATTAGATTAAGAGAATTACGTAAGTTAGTTAATTATAAGAAATATGACATATTTTTTTTCAAAATACCATTATCATCTTTCTTAATATTCTCCTTTTCTCTTCTTCTTAATTATGATTGAGAGGATATGGATAAAGATAATTTAAAAAAACTGATAAATATAAAAAATAGATTTTATATTTAAGATCAAGATAAATTTAACAATTAAGTTTTATATTGAGGATCGAAGAAGTACATAACTAACCAGCACTAGGGAGAGGCCAAGAGTTTTAGACCTTCGTAACGTAAACGTAACTTAAAAAACAAATAAGATAAATTTTTATATTTAATTTAAATGGTGCAGATTGAGATAGATACGAACCATACACATCCCCACATATTCCAAAGAATGAGCACTAATTGGGAGGGCTGACCCCATATGAGGACACACAAAAATCACCCAATACATATATAACGCGATCCGTTATTTTCCCTCTCCTTCCCTCATTCCCTTTAACGGGATTTCCCACCTGCAATACCATTCGCCGAGCGCGAACAGGGGTATAACGGTAACTTCGACGATGCCTGCCCTGTTTATATATGCTTACGGGGCCTTGATCCACGACTCGCCCATCCATCTACAGAACGCAAACACGTTCCTTTTCTCACGTTCTCTGTTTTTCAAATGGAGGAGTCTGGCCACAAGGAGCTTCAGCTTCTGCCTTCATCTCTCATGCCCATGTCTGATTCTCCTTTCTTGCACTTCCGATCACCAGTGTCGACGTCGTCCTCCTCTTCCACCGAAGGGACGCCCTCACTGGACTTGCAGTTATCGATCAGCCTGAGGCCGATACAACCGCCTCCGGATTGCGAGTACAAGGGCGACGGCTGCGGCGGAGACGAGGGCGGTGGCGGTCTGAGCGTGGAGGCATTGAAGTGGCAATCGGCGGAGCAGATTAGGCTGGCGGCGATGGAGAAGGCGTACGCGGAGAGAGTGCGAGAGCTGACGAGGAGGGAGATGGAGATGGCGCAGTCGGAGTTCGCACGTGCGAGGCACGTGTGGGAGAGAGCGCGGGCTGAGGTGGAGAGAGCGGAGAGAATGAAAGAGAGAGCCACCGTTAGGCACATTGGCTCGGCCTGCATGGAGATCACTTGCCAATCTTGCAGGCAAAGGTTCAGGCCTTGAAATTTACTCTTTTCTCGCTTCAACCTCCCTTCACAATTTCTTCTCATCAATTAAGCACTGCTTCATTTCAATTACATACAACTGAATCTTCAAATTTTCCTTGCTTTTGATTTCTCTTCAAAAAAAACCTCATGCAATATTTATTAATTAATAAACAGAGCTCTGAGCTAAGAACAAGGGGGAAAAAAGTTACTACTCTTGTGATTGCACAAAAATGCCTTCTAAAAATACTTTTTAGCAAAACGAAACAAACTTCTTCACGTATTTACTTCGTATACTATAAAAGTACTTTTCAAATCATGATTTGGTTTCTATCCAAATACCTTTTTAATATGAAAATCAGAGACTCCAGTCCATAATCTTGCGGCCAAGAAGAAACTATGACGTTGTTTTTATGGATCATATATATAAAATAGAGAAATCAGCAACACCGTGAACAAGCGGCCATTTTTCTCATGCTTATCTGGAAGAGCTTCATTTTTCAACTACTTTAGATTCCATAGGACAGATAACTCAGCACAGACGAGTGTCAAAAAAGTGGCCATTGATCTTCAATGAAGTTAAATTTCGGTATCTATGTTCCCCTGCGTCTAACTGGCAAGTATGCCTTTCATTGAAACTGATAGAGAATAAGGAGCCAGGAAATATTGATGAAACAAAGTCAAGTGGGGGAGTTAGATGCCTTATAGTACAAATGAATCACAACGAAAAAGCATAGTAGCATCAATGACAAGACATGATATATAGCTGTATCCACTTGTATTTAACCTCTCTTGCTCATCACAAAACCAAGCATATCCATATCCTTTTCTGGCCTCCAATAAGAAATTAAAGTTAAACATTTTTCTATTTTTATTTTCCTGGGGATATGAAAGGGATTATTGACTAAATGTATCAATCTGAGCAGTGAACAGTGGCTCTGTATAGTGCCCCCCTTTGAAAGATGTTGCCAGAATGGAGTTAGCTTGTTCTGTCCGCAACCTCTAAACATAATAGTACTCACATTCAGTTTATGTCTCAATAAGTACCTAAATAATTCGTTCACTTTGATTCTTTTATGAACTGCTCCAAATGATGACATCAAGTGGCCATGTTTCATTTGACTTCTTGAAAACAACATTCTACGAACCCCCCCATGGCAGGCCCTTTGAATTATAAGTTCCCAATCCTAAATTTAGAATCTTTCTTTCTTTCTTTTAAATGGCAAAATCTAATTGAGAATATCTAAGTACTATTTCTTATCTGGGTTATTTCAACTTGCAAAACTTTAACAACTGATCATTTCAACTCTTTGATTGAAGACATTTTAATTAACTCAATTCTATCTTCCAACTATGGCTGCACTTCGTTTAAAGAACTAATCTGTGTTTCCGAAATTATTATAAAAAGTATTATTGCTTCTCGGATGACTTGGTGAGGCCTACAAGGTGCAAATTAATATCACAGTTTTGAAAAACTCATTCCTCTGTAAACGCCAAACATGCAGAGATCCCCACTAATTTCCTAACTGTAAAGTTGGATAAGTGGTTTTCGTCAAAATCAAATCTTTAATTCAACTTTCTTTGAATGAAATCATAAAAAAAAAAAACAGTAAAAAGAGATATGCCTCATGAAACATAATGACTAATGAGTGTACTTTATCATGATGGAAAGCTAATCACAGAAAGTTTTAGTTTGAATTACCCAATTAATTAAACGACAATGATTTTTGAATTATTTCAACCTTGTTAAAAGCATTACCGTGATTATTACCTATATCATGATCAAATCGTACTCCCTCCGACATGTGAAAAAGTTGAATCCAGTGACAATAATATTATCTCCTATCTTTTATTTGGTTTCAATCATAGAAACGAAATGACGATCAATTACTTTCAGAAAGTAGAGATCATGATAAAGATGCCCGGCATTTCCACCCAGACATCAATTGTCATCATGACAAAACCTAAACCTTTTTTGTCTTTTTCAGGTTGTCCTCTCA